AAAAATGAGGCAAATAAAAAGTGCTCTGTAGCCCTTTCTCTTTGTTCGAACAGTGAGAGCAATAAATTTTTATAACGTGAACAAAATAGTGTGTTTATCAAGTTGCGGTATTCGCTGGACCAAACGCTGGTTACCTTGTAAGTAGGACCTCAAGAAATGGGAACAAAAATTGCCATGGAACATAAGGAATAAACGTCGAGCCTAACTAAAATGTAAGAATAAAATATGCCTGGCCCGGCCGGGCCAAATTTGAAACAAAGGCTAATGGGGTTTTAAAAGAAAATACTGTAACCTTCTTGAAAAGCCAGTTCAAAATAAATTCTGGTGTTCTCAGAGGTCGGCGCAGTATAGTTGCTTGAGTTAATTTCAGCGCAAACAATCTCCAATAGTATATGTGCCGCACATCAATTTTCCATGACTGGACCGCGCACATCTCAAACTGATTTAAGAATGAAGCGGCAGCACTGATTAGCGCCAGTGCTGAAAGGCACCGAAATCCAAGGGTTTCACTCTACATTCGTGTCGGGTTGCTTTCAGGAAAAAATTTTTCTCAACCAATAGAGGTTCATTACTCATCCATTATTTCGTTTTGAACACATTAAAAAATACGCGCAAGATACTGCGAAAAATAAACTAGACGCCGCAAAAGAAAGCCAATACGTTGGCATGTGAATGTTTTTCTTCTCACGAAATGTTTTTAAAGTTTGCTTTTTTGATCAAGAAACGCATTTCTCGCCGGCGAGATGCTGAGTTGATTTTTATTGCAATTTAAACTACCCAAAATTACGACTTCTCGTTTTAGTGGGGATGGTGCCCCCCCGAGTTCCACTTAGACCCCATGTTTTCAACGAGACCCTGTACTTTCCACACCCCATGCTCTCCACAACCTGGGCTTTCCACACCCCGTGTTTCCCACACCTAGAACCCCGTAATCCGGGACCACGCACCCCAGTATCCCGGAAACCCGGCCCCGCGGTTTCCATCTAGCAAGGCACATTGATTTATCCAGAATTACACGGGGAAAAGAGCTATGTGCATGTTCCAATGACTAATGAAACACTCACACAGATGATAGCTGTACGTACGTGTTTCGTTTTTTAAACTTTACCCTACATCCCAACTCAGTTGTTTCTTGTTGATTTTTCGTTCATGAATATAACATTCGTTTTCAAAAGTTTCACATTAATTTGGTTACCATTTACTGATAATTGCTTATCGCTTTATGAGTACGAGACAACCTCAGTTGCTTAAAAGGAGTTTTCAGGTTTCCCTTTATTTGCCAGATCTCCTATAATCGCGCGTATCTAAAGGAGAGTAAAAAAAGCAAACAAACAATAACAACAGCAGGACAAAATTCAACAAACAGTGAGGTAACGAAGAAGCAATTTTAATGACACGCCTTTATATAAAGGCCAAAACACTTTTTAAAGATCGCCGCCCTGTTAACAGGGATTTTCATGGGCTTTCTAAGGTTAAAATTTAGCTGTAAAGCGGGGAAAAAAAATAGCCATTAGACGTAAAATTGGATAATTTTAATCGTTAGCCGTACAAAAGGTTAACTGCCCAAAATAATTAGCCACGAAAGTAAAAGACTCAAGATCTCTTTTCTGTGCCTTGTCTTGTCTTGAGTGTCTCAATGGGATTTAACCGTTAGCCNGCTTGATAATGTCCCGCAACAATTCTTATAATAATATCTCATCCTGAAATGGTACAAAGACCTACAATATGTTTTTCAGTAATCAAAACAATGAAAATTAATTTGTAACATTTCTGTACAATAGTAATTGGTTTCTTAGATCTTTTTTATTCCTAAGAAAAATAAATAAGGCGTTATTCGTTAAAACGGCAACATTTTAATAGTTGGTTGTAAAAAAAAAAAGAAAAAAAAAAAAAAAAAAAACACCAGCTCATTGAAACCTCTTAAAACAGCGGGACGATCTCTAGTATCAGATATTCCTGGTTGTTGTCTTTGCAGAGTAGAGTTAAAAATCATGATTTTGACTTGCATAAAAATAAAAAAATAACAAAGCATTAAAAATAACAACTGAAAATTAGAAAAAGAAACTTTCTTTTTTTCCTTTTTTTTTTTTTCCCGTTATAACCAAACCTACATGTACTTTCCAAACCGGTCTTTTTCTGGATTGTGCCATCAACATTCGTGACATACAGAGATTATAAAGTGCAACACTGACATCAAGTAAATATAATTGAATCGCCACATCTTGCCGCGGTGATTCAGTCAAGATAAAACACCTCCACCTCATCAGGTGTGAAGTAACGAGTCCCAGCCAGGATTGTGCACTGGTCTTGTACTCCACTTGGAACAGAGTAGTCGTTGTGTTCACCAAAGTCTGTGTATGAATTAGTGTTACTGTTGGCATTGTTACCAATGCAGATGTCCCACCCTCTACCAAATGTTGGACCATAACTTGAGCTCCTGCAAATTGCATATGCTGGGTGTGTCACCATGCTCTTGAATGGTCCAAGACCTTCTTTGTTGCGGAGTGAAAATATGAAAGCATTGGGAGTGGAACCATAGCTACCACTGGTATCTAAATAACAAGAAAAAAAATAAATACAGAAACATGTTTTAGAAAATAAATGTTTAGGAACCGCTAGTATAGCTACACAATCCTCCGTAGAAAAAAAAGATGGCGAATGGTACATTTACCCATAGTTCTTAGCGCACGAAAACCTAAACAACGTTCATAAAAACGTAAAGAAACGTTATAAAATCTTCAAACCCAGGCCACTCGATGTCCTAAGTACAGGGACAAATATTATAATTATAAAGCTTTCTTTGTGCCCTTTGGGCTGTGTTAAGTTCGCGAGGCATTGTGCATGGTAAAATGTACAGCCGCCATCTTTTTTCCTACGGTGGATTGAGTATAAAGGACTTTAAACAGGGCGTTGAAAACTGTCAAACATAGTTCATTTGTATTTAGCAAATTACTAGTCATCGGCTTTTCTGTAGTTTGTTTGTCTTTCTCTTGGAGGGGTAGATTCAGAGTTTACATTGCTAGCTTCATCTTTGTTGGTTTTGGGAAGGGAGATATTTGATTCAATATCAGAGACAAGGGGAAGGAAGGATCTCTCTTTTAAGCCAGGAAAGAGAAGAGTTATGACAAATTGGCAGGTTATTATTTTATGCTGCAGCATTAGAGTGGGTTTCATGTCAGAACTTAAAGCCCAAAGTAGATTTAGTGCTTGAACTTTTTAATTGAGTCATCCTTACGGTCGATGAGTTTAATCATGTGCATCAGCTTTAATGCATTTTCAGCCGTTTTTTCTTTAGGAAGACTTCCGGGAAACTATGCTGACAGTATTGTGTAGGTTCATCTGTACTTTGTAGTTTACTCATCTCGCTCTGGCCTGAGTATAAATGTTCGAGACTTTTAGCGCCTACCTAATTCCGACAGGGGCTCCATTCGGGATCATCTCGTAAACGTTGAACAAAGTGCAAACGTGAACCCAATCCATCAGTTTTATAGCTAGCCTGCCCCAGTAGCTGAGACTGAACAGGCGAAAAAACTAAAGAGGGCGAGAGAGAGAGAGAGAGAGAGAGAGA